GTGGAAGGAAGAACAGAAGGGGACACAGAGAGGCAGGGTAGTTTTGTTACCGTAATGTTCAATTGTGTTGTTGTTGATTCATGCCTGACTCTTGTGACTTGTGTGAACTGAAGCAGAGTGAAGTGAGAAGAACCAGGAGAACAATTTATATGATAACAAGAATATTATAACGACAAGCAACTTTGGAAGACTTAGGTGCTCTGATCAACAGCGGTTCCAGAGGACTCAGGATGAAACACACCGCCCACCCCAGACAGAGAAGTGACAGATTCAGAATACGGATTGCCGTTGTTATTGTTCAGTCATGTCTGACTCTTCGGGACCCCATTTGGGGTTTTCTTGGCAAAGACACCAGAGTAATTTGCCATTTCCTTCTCTAGGTCATTCTATAGATGAGGAAACTAAGATAAACAGGGTTAAGTAACTTGTCCAAGGGCACACAGCTAGTAAATGTCTGAGGTTCGATTTGAACTCTGGTCTTTCTGACTCCAGGCCCCGTGTTCTATTCCCTGTGCCACCTAGCTGCCCTTTAATGCTAAATTTAATATACTCTTAAAAAACTGTGCATAGAAGTTCATAGTTTCTCTTTTCTCTCTGTTATATAGTGAAATGTTCATGTTTCTCTATATTTAGGTTCCTGATAAAAAAGAAAATAAAAAAAAAGAAACTGAGGTAGGTATCAACTTTTTTTGTTGTTGTTGTTTTAACAGATGAGGAAACTGAGACTTGAGAGAGGTGAAATGATTTGCCCATAGCCACAAACTAGTAATTATCAGAGCCAAGATTTGAACCAGATCTGCTCAATTCAAGTGAACATTCATCTTATTATGCCACAGACAGTGGCCATTTTTTAGTAATAATTTGTTTCACTGGTCATTCTACATCTAGAAATCAGTGTTCATTTCTGGGCATCATAGATGTAGAGGAGGACAACCAGGGTGAGAAGTGAAAAACAAGGACTACTTGAATTACAAGATTTACTTGAATTTCTTGAAATACAAGAATTACTTGAAGGAACTGAAGATGTTTAGCCTGAAAGGGTGAAGATTGAGTGGGAGTATAATATCTGCCTTCTATCTGAAAGGATGCCAGGCAGAGAAGATGGTAGATTTGTTCCATTTTGTCTGGGAGTAGTGGTCTCTAAACTCTTTAGATTATGTACCCCATCAATAAAAAATGTTGAGCATTCATGTATGTATAATATACACACATGTATACAGAAACATACATATGTATGTATGTAGGTACACATACACATACAGGTGTGTAAATATGTGGATATACATGTGTAGGGAGTGTATATGGGAATGTGTATGTATGTATATGTATGCCGTATATACAGGTTATACGTACATCTGTACACACTGCAGATATACACATATGCATACAATACACATGTGTACACATATTTGTGTACTGTGCCGCATCAAAGAGAGGAACAGTAAAGCTTGAGGAAGCAGATGAGGCTAGATTGGATAAACTCAACTCGTACTGTCTTCAAAACACCACTGTTCACTCAGCTTTGCTAAGAAATGGAACAGTGGGGGCAGCTAGGTGGCTCAATGGAGAGAGCACCAGCCCTGGAGTCAGGAGGACCTGAATTCAAATCCAGCCTCAGACACTTACTAGCTGTGGGACCCTGGGCAAGTTGCTTAACCTGGATTGCCTCCAAAAAAACCAAAACAAGGAAGTAAGAACATTTTTCTTGGGGAGCGGAAGGAGGGAGAAAAATTTGGAACACAAAATCTTATTAAAAATGAATGTTGAAAATTGTCTTTACGTATAATTGGAAAAATAAAATGCTATGAAAAGAAAAAAAAGAGATCGAACAGTAGACGGCAGGTCTGTTCTGCTTGGAGAAGAAAAGGGTCAGAGGACCAGAGGACAGTCTGATGCAAGGACACCACGAACAGAGCTGGTGAAAGGGAGAGAGTTATCTTCTGCTACAAATGTAGGTTGAGATCAACACACATGTTCAATGCACTTGAGGAGCGAATGGAAACTTGGTTTAGTAGATGTAGATGCCCACGGAGTCAGTATCAGGACCTAAAGATGAGGTCAAAGACAACAGATAACTCTGGGTGAGTGTTGGCAGGCCTTCCCCCTCTTACCGCCCTTGGGGCATGGGCTAATAGTCTAACATCCCCAGGGACATTTGCTAGGCAGTAAATGGTTTTAAGTATTGGATTCATGCAGTGGCTACTTCCATATCTCTTTGACAAAGGGAGATAAAAGAGAGTGCAGTTCTAGTCTGCCCAGTTGGATTTTTAATAGGTTTGAGTCTCAGGGGCGTCTGCCACTCTTCAATGGCTTATAGAGAAGAGAGTTGAAGACATAAAATATGTGGAAACGTTTGTATGCCTGGATGACTTCATTGTCTTGGAAAGATACTGGAAAAACACGAGGAAAGTGATGAAAATGTTGAACTGGACAGGGGAAGCTGGTCTGAAACAGCCGACTGACAAGGCTAGTTCTGCAGAGGTTCTGCTAGTTCTGTGTGTCTTATAGTGTCTTAGCAAAGAGTCAGCACTGAGCCAGAGAAGACAGAAATGCTCACCCACTGACCATACTGAAAGAACTTTGGAGAATAAAGAACTTTCCTTAGGTTTGGTAGCTGTTGATTTTAAATTCATAAGGAACCATAATCCTATTGCCAAACCACTCAACGATCTTACTGATGGTTATATAATGAGGAAGAACCAGGAAAAAATGGAACATAACAAAGTTCTGCTTGGCTTGAACCCTTAAAAGCCGTTGGAAATCAGTGAATAGAGAAATGTGAATAATTTTTTAATGATTTGGTCGATTGCTTGTTATATACGCTATTGTTGGCCTGTGTAGACCAACTAACCTAGCATGCCTTCATCAGAAGCAGATTTTGCCGACTCATCTATCTTTCTTTCTTTCTCCCATTTACTGGACTAGTAGATTAAGGGAACAATGTAGTTAGAATTTACCTAGATTTAGCAAAACGTCCAACAAAGTCATGCTACCTTTGTGGTCAAGATGGGAAAAAATGTGGGCTATCTGATATTATAGTTAAGTGGGTTTGGAACTGACTGAACTCAGAGAACAGTCATCAGTGGTTTGATGTCTGCTATGGAAGGAGGTCTCCAGAGGAGCACTTTGGCGATCTGTGTTTGGCCCTGAACTATTTAATGTTTTTACCAAAGACTTAGTGAAAGGCAAAAATTGCATGCTTGTCAGCTTTTCAACTAATACAAAGCTAGGAAGGATAGATAGCTAACATACTGCATGGGCCAGATCTAGTCAAATAAAATTTAATAAGGATAAATATAAAGTCATATTTGTGCTGGAAAAGCAAATTCATAATTATAAATTGGACTTGTAATTGTTCTTTAAAAAGATGTGAGGACATAGTAATCAAGTTCTATATGAGTCAATCGTGTGATATGGTACCCCACACCCAAAACCAAGACCCTAATGCAATTTATACTCCATTGAGGGGAATGGTATCCATAATGAGGGAGGTGATAACCCCACAGTATTCTGTACTGGTCAAACAATGTTATGTTTTGGAAATTATGTTTTAGGAAGGACATTGATAAGCTAGGGGGTATCAAGAAGAGGGCAACCAGGATGGTTTAAAGCCATGAGTTCATGTGGCATGAGAATTGATTAAAGGAAATATGGATATTTATTCTGGAGAAGAGAAGACTGGAGGTGGGGAGAGGGGAGAATTAAAGTTCCTTTTAAAGATTTTAACATTTGCATGGTGGAAGATGGATGAAATTTATTCTTCCTGAAAAGAGGAACAGATTTTGAGGCGGACTGTAAGGAGAAACCCTTAGTTGTTGTTGTTCAGTTGTGTCCAACTCTTCATAACCCTTTTACAGTTTTCTTGGCAAAGATATTGCAGTGGTTTGACATTTCCTTCTCCAGCTCATTTTACAGATAGGGAAACTGAGGCAAATGAGGTTAAGTGACTTGACCAGGGTCATGCAGCTGCTAAGTGTCTGGGGATGGATTTGAACTCACGAACATGACTTTGATTCCAAGCCCAGTACTCTATCCACTTCACCACCTAGCTGCCAAAGAGACACTAGCCCTCAGAGCGACCCACAAATGGAAAGGACTTCCACTCTTCTTGGGAAGAGGTGATGGGTTCCCCCTCACTAAGAATCTTCTGGCAGGGCTGTCTGGACACTTGTTGGGAAGGGTCAGGTACAGGGTAGACTAGAACTAGATGATGTCCAAGGTCACTTCTTCTGAGATTTGGTGATGCTGAGAGAGCAGTAGACAAAGTGGTGGGTGATGTCCTTGTCAGAGGAGCTCTTGGATTTACGTATGAAAGTGACTGGGTTGACATACTTTCTCATTTAAAGGTTATTTGTATCACCCCTTTTTATAAAATGTCCTCCTATAATATTTTTAACTTTGAGCTTACAATAATAGGGAGTCAGTTTCAGTATTGTGAGTGATAGGTACTGGGAAGAAATTTCCCTCTGTTCCCTGGGGGGGGGTGTTGGGTTGGGGGGGTATATGCCAAGAAAATCAAGAAATCCTGAGAAGCTCTTACACAGGGGTTACATAGTCATACAATAATAGTTTACATTCTTATAGCATTTTCAGTTTTACCACATAGTTTGTTCCCAGTAACTCTGTGAGCAATGTAGTGGATTATTATTCCCATTTCACAGACGAGGAAACAGGTTAAAAGAAGTGAAATGAATTATTTGTTGTAATTGAGATTCAGACCTCAGTCTACCTACCTTTAGGTCTAGCACTTTCTCCACTGTATCCTGCTGCTTTAACTGGTGGATCAGCTAAAGTAGTTGGGGTTTCCTGCAGCAATGTGATGCTTGTTCAGGTGTCAGGATCGGTCCTTGGTTCTTTCCGTATGCTACTGATTCCGAACAAGTTAACCCACTAACTGTTTCCCTAATTTGTTTCTCCTACTTCCATTTGCAGGCCCTGGGACTGGCCCTTGCCTAGAAGCCCGTCATATAGGGCATCCCAAAAAGTCTTTAAAAGCTTTTTTTTTTTCCTTCTTCAAAGCATTTGGGACATCCTATACAGATTTCTCCTGGTTAAGGTAGGGATTAGCCTCAGCTTTATGATCTCCTTATTTGCTGTGCTGACTGTTGATCTGGTTCGTGACACACTGCCCTTCTTTAACCTTTGTAAAAGGGACCTTAAAACTCATTTAGCACAATTCCTACTTAAAGTGTGAACATTCCCAGCAAGTGGACATCCAGCCTTTGTTTGAAGAGCTTGGGAACATGAAGATCTCACAAAGATTTTGGATACTGTTATAATACTTTAAGAGAGAGCAGGAATAGACTCTTGGGAAGGGAGAGCCAACTGGCATCTTTGGGAGAGGCTGTGAGAGGCACACATGGAGGCAGATTCTTTCCTGAGGAGAACCGGAAAGTTAACTGTGAAGAAAAGAGGCTGCAAGAGATTGTGAGAGTTAACTGTCTTTTTTCAGACAGTTTGGAGAGACATTCTGAGAGCTCCATTTAATTCTTATTGTAAGGAGGAGAAATCCTGAGAATGCCCAGGATACTTAAATTGCGATCTTGAGACAAGTTAATTGTTGGACCGTGATTCCAGTCTTCCGGTCTTCCATGGAGGAATCACTGGCTGTAGTGTTGCTTGTTGAGGTCTTTCTCACTGTTGAAATTTTACTTTACAGTATTTGTTACATAGCCAATAACAATGTTTGTCTAAACTAGTTGCTTACTACTGACAGAAGAGAAAAAGTAGGGGCAGCTAGGTAGCGCAGTGGATAGAGCACCAGCCTTGGATTCAAGAGGACCTGAGTTCAAATCCGGCCTCAGACACATAACACTTACTAGCTGTGTGACCCTGGGCAAGTCACGTAACTGTCACTGCCCAACCAAAAAAAAAAAAAAGAAAGAAAGAAAAAGAAAAATGAACTGAGGTCCTTCTGACTCCAAGGCTGGAGCTCTATCCATTGCGCCACCTAGCTGCCCCACAGGACCTCAGTTCAAATCTGGTCTCAGACATGTGACACTTAACTAGCTGTGTGACCCTGGGCAAGTCATTTAACTCTGATTGCCTCAACAAAAAAAAAAGAGAGAGAGAGAGAGAATAAGTTTATGGGAAATGTATTTTCCTTATTTTTTTTTTAAACTATAAGCTGGGATAGGAGCTTTGAGCTAATTAGTTCATGAAATAGTTTGTGTGTGTGTATGTATAAATGTATAAGGTAATTTTAGAACATACTCCTTGACTGCCTTTGAATAAGATGTGATAGAATTAATAAGCTAACAAGTAAAGTAGCAAACTCAGAGCTGGGGAGGTAGATAGATAGGGTTATCAGAGGGAATGTTTGAGAAGTGTTTTTCTCACCTTGCAACACATACTGACACCTTGCATCTCACATCTCCAAAGGAATTGCTACAGGAAGGTTAGTAAAAACCCTGTTACAGTGGGGTGCACAAAAAGCCCGGGGGAGGTGGAGGCCCAACAGAGAGGAGAGGAGAGTTGCTCTAACAATTTATGGGCTTCCTATATGTACAAAACTATTTATAGCAACTCATTTTGCAATGGCAAAAAAATTGGAAAATGAAGAGGTGCCCATAAAGTGGGGAATGGCTGAGCAAGTTATGGTATATGAATGGAATGGAATGCTATTATGCTGTAAGAAATGACGAAGGGGATGGATTTCGAATCCTGGGAAGACATGATGCAGAGCGAAGGGAGCAGAATCAGGGGAAAACAACATAAAGACAGCTTTGACTTAGGAACTCTGACCAATGCAATGACCAACCATGATTCGAGAGGACTCATGACAAAGCATGCTACCCCTACCATGCGCATCACCCCCCCCCATTAGAGAGATGATGGATTCAGGAATGCAGATGGAGATATTTTTTGGATGTGGCCAGGGTGGAAATTTGTTTTATTATACATGTTCATAGGAGGGGTTATGTTTTTCTTGCTCTCTCAAAGAGGTGTGTTTGGGGTTGGGAAAGGCAGGAAAGAGAGATGATGATTTTTCACTTAAAAAATAATTTTAATTAAAAAAAAGTATGGGCTTGAGTGTGGATGCCCATGCTAAGCACAACATTAGTATGATGAGCCCTGGGGAGGGAAATGGGGAAGAAGGGGAAACCAGGCTGCCTAAGGAGGAGCAGCAGTGGACGAGACAAAGCTCTGGTGCTGATTGGCAGTGGAGAGGGTCTGTGAGTGCAGCTGCTCTTCCAACCTGGCCAAGATAGGGGGCTCCAGTCATAGCCATCCCCACCCCTGTGCCCCCAAATTATGGGCTTAGGTGCAAGTCCTTTCTGTTTTACTTTGTTTGTTTGTTTAAATAAAACCTGTCCTATAATTGATGTCATACAGGCATGAGTACTTGGGTGGGAGTTGAGGGATTTTGTCTTTTTATTGTGGAGACAAAAGGCATGGACTAAAATCTTATGTTCCCAGGGGAAATGTTGGGTGTGTGAGGATGCAAACTGAAGATGTGATTTGTGAGATGCCTCTAAGACCCACTAGCTCCCTTGGCCTGTTATTCAACTTTTGGTCACCTTGAATGAGTAGAAATTTTTTTTCCACGTATTGAAGTCCACCTCTGAAGATTTCACCCATTGTTCTGGTTCTACCTTCTGGGGCTGAGGAGAACAAATTTAATTCTTCTTCCATATGCAGACAACCTCTAAGTCAGAGGTTTTTAATTTGGTGTCTGTGGACCCCGAAGGGGTACGTGGAGAGACTTCAGAGGGTCTGTGGATCTGGATGTGAAAAAAGATACGTTATTATTATCACCAACTTTTGGTTTCTTTTGCAATCTTATATATTTTATTTTATTTTATTTTATACATTTAAAAACATTCTGGAAAGGGGTCCATAGGTTTCACCAGACTGCGAAAAGGTGTGACACAAAGTAAGGTCTGCATGGTCTTCTCTTCAGACTAAATATCCCCTGTTCCTTCAAACAACCCTTACCTGGAATGCTGTTGCGTGTTCTTGCCATCTGGGTCACCTTTTTCTGCATACTCTCCAATTTGGCAACGTCCCACCTAAAACGTGGCACTCAGAACTGAACGCAGTGCTCCAGACATGGTCTGACCAGAGCAGAGGACAGAAGAACGACCACTTTCATCCTTCTGAGCACTCTGTGTCTGTGAAGGCCCTCTACGGTGGAAAGCCTTAGTTTTGACTAAGGTCTTGACTACCAGAAGGGGGAGCAGTGGAGAGTCAGCTAAGCAGGCTCTGAGCAGGACCTGTTCTCTGGCTGCAGATGGACAGTTGGAGCCAGATAATGACCCATGTAAAGATCCATATCAAAATTTGGACAATAAGAACAAGGCATGATGATAGGGAAAGGAATAAGTGTTTATACAGGCCCTACTGCATGCCAAGCGCGGCGCGCGGCACTAAGCACTTTTACAAATATTATCTCGTTTGGTCCTCACGGTAACTCTGGGAGGTTGGTGCTATTCTTATGCCCATTTACCATTAAGGAAAGTGAGGCAAACAGAGGGTAAGTCACTTGCCCAAGGTCACACAGCTAGTGCGTGCCTGAGGCTGAATTTGAACTCTGGTCTTCCTAGCCTCCAGGCGCAGTGCTCTATCCTTTACATTACCTGAGTTGGTATAGCTGACTAGCTAAGAATCAGGGAAAATCTTCCAGGGCTGTCCCAGACTGAAGGGGACCTAACCATAGATTGGGGAGTTGGGATAGGGGAGAAGAGGTTGGTATGGCACTAGGAGCTCTCTTTTTCCTGCTCAGTCCTCAAGCTGTAGGAATTGAAGCAACCTATGGAAGTCATGACAGGGAGCTAGGTGGTACAGTAGATAGAGTGCTGGGCCTAAAGTGAGGAAGACTCATCATCCTGAGTTCAGATCTGGCATCAAACACTTACTAGCTGTGTGACCTTGGGCAAGTCACTTAACCCCATTTGTTTCAGTTTCCTCATCTGTAAAATGATCTGGAGAAGGAAATGGCAAACCATTCCTAAGTATCTTTTCCAAGAAAATCCTAGATGGAGTCACAAAGAGTTGGACATGACTGAAAAAGACCAAACAACAAATGGAGATGATGATTCAGTAGGGCTTAGAAACAATAATAGTCAACTTGGGCCTTCCATGGACTCAGCAGTGAGACTCTAGGCCAGTGGGTATGAGGCTACCAACAGTGAGCAGTGAATTACCACAAAGGCTTTCCATGTGATTAGGCTTTGTGATGTACCCGGAGGATGGATGGAATAGGAAATCGCATAGATAATACCCATGGATGACAGGGGTTATGTATTTTGCATATAACTTCATCACGAGATGGTATGTATTACATATGATCTCAATTTCACTTTATGCAACCTTGATATGTCATGCAGTGTGATAAAAAAAATTACATGTGCCTTATGTATCTGGTCTGCAACATGCAACTTTTATATATGTTCCATGTTGTATTATGTTTCTGGATATGGCCTGTGTGTCTAGTTTACTGCACAAAACATTAATGTATTTGTAATGTTCTATGTACCTGCATATGTTCTGTGCATTTGGGTTAACTCTTTCTCTACTATAAGCCAGTTAATGAAAATTTATGGTGTTTGTCCCCAGATCCTTACCGCCTTTCTGATTCTAGGCAATTCACTTAACCACCATGGGCCTCAATTTTCTTATCTGTAAAATGAAGGTTGAGTTAGATGGTGTCTGAGGTCTATTACAACACTAGGTCTATGATTTTATGTACCTATGCATATGAGAAATTTTTCAGGCTCTACAAATTTTTACTGGGAAAAGAGTATCTATCTCACTACATTTCCCAGAAGATTTGGGTCAAAGAAAGGCCCTCATGAGCCTGCATGCCTGATGATGGTCTTGGTGTGTACCCTAATTGGGTAAGGAGGTCTTACAAGAAGGGCTGACAAGGCAAGGAGGGGAGGGAAAACATGTTAGCAGCAAGGCCCAGAGCTGTGGATCATTTTGTCCTGAATCTCCAATGTCCTGTCAGGATGCTGATGACTCCAGAATGGAAACAAGAACTGTTAGCTATTCCTCATTCTGCTATGAAGTCAGACCAGTAGCCTCCTCTAGGATCTGGGGAGTTAGATGGACTGATGAGCAACTCTTCTGGATATGCACACCTACATCTCTTTGTATTAGGGTGCAGAGCATGTTTTGCTACTTTATTTACTCTCTTGCTACTGACCTTGTTTCATATTTTAGTGAATTTTTTTTTCTGCTTGATTTCTGGGTTTCCCTTATGTCTAGTAATAGAATTCTTACCCACACTCACTAATGCAGGATCCACATACCAAGTTTAGACAAGACACCACTCACACAAAGCTTATGTTCTGATAGAGGGTTAAGGAAGATAATTATAATAGGTGATATTACATCATAAACACCTTAGGAAGTTACAAAACCCAGACTGAGGACAATTTGAGCATAATGGAGTATTCAGGATTTTCCATGAGATTCTTTTGAAAAGATTAACATGGATAAAATCTGTGTTCTGGGATTGATGACTGTTTCCTTCAAAAGGTATGAACTTCCATTGCTCTGGGTATTTGTTGGTTATTTAATGTCTTATTAAGGATAACTAACTTATGGTCAGCACATAACCAAGCTAAGCCTTTGGATTTAGCCTTTAAAAGGAGGGCTGGAGAGCGGGAAACAGCACTCACCTGATGGCAGTGAGCACAGACAGGCTTTGGCTCTTGCTGCAGGGAAGCTTTGTGACCTTGTGGTTCTACGGCCCCTCCAGGGAACCACGTGCATCAGGTAACTACGTGGCCCCAGGAGAGGATGGAACCACATGGCTCCAGAGATGGCAGCGGACAGAGCAAAATGAGTATTTCCGGGACCAAGCTGGGAGCTGAAGTACTATGATGGAGAAGCAGTGGTGGAATGATGGAGGATTTCATGCACCAAACCTTTTGGATCCAGAGGAGGGGTTCCTGGAGAATCCTGAATTCCTGGCCCAAGCATGAGCAGCAAATGACATCACCATGATGTAAAACAGAGGTGTCAGACACACAGCCTACAAGCTGCACGTGGCCGACAACGCTCCTGAGTGTTGCGTGAACCAGATTAAAATGTAATTGGGAAATATTTTAATAAATAAATTAAAAAACAATATTACATTTTAGAACAAAGCCAATATGTGGTTCTCAAGGATCATTATATGCTGTTTAGCACCCCCTCTTTCTATTTGAGTCTGACCCCGCCAGATGCAGAGGAGCAAACCTCCTGATATAGAGGAGAAAGCCTATTTGGCATGTGAGTTGGGTTTGGAAGGATGAGGATGGCTTCAACACATGAAGAAGGGAAGAAGGTCATTCCAGGCATAGGGAACAGAGTGAGCAAAGGTATGGTTAGGGTGAAGAGCATACCCCAGTTTGTTCAGAGTGTAGACTAGACTGGAAAGGCAGGGGGCACCAGATGGTGGAGGGTCTGGAAAGCGAAGAAAACGAGTGTGTTGTTCACATTGATAGACAATAGAGAGGCAAGCACCTGAAGCTGTTTGAGCAGGGGAGAGAGAGAATCAAGTCTATGGTTTTTTTTGGCAAGGCAGTTGGGGTTAAGTGACTTGCCCAGGGTCACACCGCTAGTAAGTGTTCAAGTGTCTGGTCTGAGACCGGATTTGAACTCGTGTCCTCCTGATCCCAGGGCCAGTGCTCTATCCACTGCGCCACTTAGGCGCTCCCAGGTCTAAGTTTAACAAAGGTTATTTTGGCAGTGGGTTTTGTTACAAGAGGTAATGTCTTTAATAAGGCTATTGCAATAGCCCAGGTCAGTATAAATAACAGAAGGGTATAGAAGCCAAAGGTGTTGTGGGGGTGGAGTTACTCACAGGATGTAGTAACTTTACTTGTGGTTGGTCAGTCATTTCAGTAGTGTCCAGCTCTTGGTGACCACATCTGCAGTTTTCGTGGCAGAGATTCTGGAGTGGTTGGCCACTTCCTTCTCCAGCTCATTTTACTGACGAGGAAACTGAGGCAAACAAAGTTAAGTAACTTACCCAGGGACACACAGCTAGTAAGTGTCAGAGGTCACATTTGAACTCGGGTCTTCCTGATTCCAGGCCCGGTGCTCTACTACACCACCTCGCTGCCCATATCAATCTACAAGCACCATTCATGTGGCAAACACTTTGCTGAGGTCTGGGGATAGAGAGACAAAAATGAAATCATCCCTTAACTCAAAGAGCTTACAGTCTGTTAGGTAAAATAACACGTACACCAGTAATTATCTGTGAAGTAAATACAAAGTAATTTGAGTGAGAGGCCAGCTGGAGTGGGGGATTAGGAAAGTATATAAGAGATGGTGTTTGAACTGGGCTAAAAGAAACTCTGGATTCTAAAATGGGGAGGAGAGGAGGGAGTACATTTCAAGCATGGGGGAAAGCCTGGACAAAGGGACAGAGAGAGAGCCTCAGGGAAGCCCCACATGAAGGAACTGGGAAGCCCAGGGTGCTCCAGTAAAGGAGACAGAGAAGAGTGGTTAGAAAAGCTCCCCTCCTAGAACCAGAAGAGCTGGGACGTTTCTGAAGCCATATCTGGGAGGAGAGCATATCTGGTTATGAGAAACCATCAACAGTGTGAAAAACTGCAAGAGGTCAAGGAAGATGACTGAAAAACAGTTACTGGGTTTGACTCTCAGGAAGTCATTGGTGACCTTTGGGAGAACATTTCAATACAGTAGTGCAATCTAGATTGCAAGGGGTTGAGAATAGTGAGGAAGTGGAAGGTAGAGAATAGAAGTAAGTGACAGGGGACTCCTAGGTAGTGCAGTGTTGAGAGTACTGGGCCTGGAATCAGGAGGATCTGAGTACAAATCTTGCCTCACATACTTACTACCAGTGTGGCCCTGGGCAAGTCATTTAACCCTATTGCCTCAAAAAAAAAAGTGAATGAGAGGAGGGAGCTGGATAGATGAGAAGTGTAAAGGAAAAATTTTTTTAAGGTTTGGGAAAATTTGGGCATATTTATAGGTAGATGGGGAAGAGCCAGTGATGAGAGAGCATGAGAAAGACAGGGGATGACTTCCCAGACAAAGTGACTTGATTCAGGTTGCCAGCCCCTCCCACTTTCCCAAGTTCTCCCTGATGACTCATTCACAAGGTGCTTCCCCGTCCCACCTACTGCAAGCCCCTGCCCACAAATACCATAAACAAATAGTAACAAATACCTATGATTTCCACTCACTTCTGGATGGGGAGTACCCTTCTCTAACACATTCAAGATGAATACAGTAGTTTGTTTCTCAGGAGCCTAGACAAATGTTTTTTTAAAGATTAGTCTTGTCTTTCACCAGTTTATTTCTGAATTCTTTCATTAACCGTCTTGATGGAAAACACTCTGTTGATACAAATCCATAGAAGAGAAAGCACTGGCTACATAAATATGAGCTATTACCATTATCATTACATTTTTAGCATTCATTCTGTCTTCTAATAGGGAATTCTTTTCTGGCTAGCCAAACAGGCCTTTCTAGTTTTTTTTTTCTTTTAAAGTTCTAAATAGTCTAATTATTTAAAGGTTCATTGGGTTCTCCAAGCCAATGAATTCAGAGCATTCAGATTATATTTCCATCCAGAGCTCAGTGAGTTTGAAAAATCTTAAAGGGGAAAATGTTCAGTGAAGCATATTTTCCATCTTCCTGGATCCCAAAACTTTGAAAGTGACTTAGAGATATCATTAGGCCACAAAATGGGGCTATCAACCCCATTTTTGATGGTCTAAAGTATTTTTTTTACATTCTTCATCTATGCTGTTCTTTTTTAAAAAAATTTATTTTTAGTTTTCAACATTTGCTTCCACAAGATTTCAAGTTTCAAATTTTCATCTCGCCCCTCGCATGCAAGATGGCATGCATTCTGAATATCTCTTCACCTAGTCTGCCCTCCCTTCTATCTCTCCCCCCACTTCTCTTATCCCCTTACCCTTCTACTTTCCCGTAGGGCAGGGTGGTCTAAAGTATTATTGACCTTTTAAATGCATGTAGAATACAATGTACAGGCTGTGGCCTGAGTTTGTCATGTTTACCTAAATAACTCTTGTAGGGTCAAATCCTGATTTTGGGAAAAAAAATGAACTAATTTAATGTGTTATTGAATTGATTGTAATTTATTGGTCGCCCTAGGAAACTAGTACAGTAATGATATCCTAGTGGATGGAAGGAATGCTTCCCTGGAGTCAGAAAACCTGGGTTCAAATTCTGACTCAACTTCCTAATTATAACTTTATGACCCTTAAGCAAGCCTCTTTGTCTCTCTGGGCCTCAGTTTCCTTATCTACAAAGTGGGGATAGTAAAGCTTATATTACCTATGTGTTAAAATTGTATCTTGTTCTGGCCTTCCTGTCAGCTGTCCCCCCCACCCCCACCCCTTGAGTCAGTAGAGTAGTTTACAAATAGCTAGTATAAAGGGAAATAAATATGGCAGGAAATAAGATCGCAAAGGGGAACCTGGAAGTCACATACAAGTCGTCCCAAAGATCACAGGAGCATATTTTACAAACACCGTCATATAATATTACCCAACATTCACGTCCTGGTAATATGTGCTGAATCAGCAGCAGCCACCTGGGGGTTGCTGCCAGGACCTTCTAGTCCTACGATCCGTATGTCTCAGACAAGTTCCACACCTCCACAGTAAGACCAGCAGAACACCAAGAAGTGCTGATAATTTTAAGATGATGTGGATATATTAATGAACTAACCCCAAGGTAGCCTAGATAGAAGTTAGTCTATTCCCCCCCAAATCCTATAAAATGAGACCTCAAACTCCTCTTGCCTCTCTCTCCCCCAGCACCCCTCCATCTCCATTGGGTCCATGCTGCTGAGTGCTTCCAACTCTAATCCATGGTTATGTGAGTGCTACTTTCTGCTTCTCCTCCCTCTTCTCTCCCCCATGCTACCTGTCTCCCTCCACCATCCTATCTCTTGTCCCCTTACCATCTGCCATGGTATCTTTTTGCCTCTTATTTCTGTACCCTCTGTGCCTTACTGAAATATGATTGCAGCCCCACTTCCAGGCCATCATGGGCCTTTCCTGTGAGTAACCAAAGAAGCAGCAATGCCTGTCCCCATTTCATAAATTAATTATCAATTCAACCTACCTTATAGGGTTGTTAAGAGGAAAATGCCTTATAAACCTTAAAGCACTATAGAGATGGGATTTACTATCATGTTAGTTGGGTTTGTATGGAGCATGGACAGACATTCTCTGCCTGCTTTCAGACATGGTGACTCATTGCTGAAAGGACTTGGTATTTTAATAAGATACAAAAGATCCTGAGTGCTGTTTTGATTGTCTGCTCCCCACCCCTCAGCAAAGGGTGGGAACGTCATAAGAAAAGAGATAGTTTCTGGCTGACAACCTCTTGACTGGTCTCTCTAGGTAGTGATTTTTAGGAAGGAGTGGAGAAAGAGAGGGCCTTTCTCCTGCTCCAATATAATGGCTACCCCACTGCTGCTTCCCACCTGGAGCCTGGACCCAACCAGGCTGTCTTGTATGGGGTCCCCCTGGCTACCTTTGCATCTCTTGTTTTTCCTTCCCTTTAATTGGTGACCATGAGAGTTTTGAAAGGTAGGGGTGGTGGTGGGGGTGGGGGTGGTGGGGTGTGTGTGTGTATGTGTGTGTGTGTGTGTGTGTGGCATTGTCTACCAGAGTAGATGTGGTTATAACAGCAGCAGCAGGAGCCAGGAGTGCAATAGGTCACCATATGGGTGGACATAGCCCCAGATTTGCTATGTGGTCTGGAAGTAAGCAGATAATATAGGTCGGTCAGTAGGTAGGTAGATAGATAGATATAGAAAGAAATGGATGTAGATTGATAGGTAAATAGAGTAAGTAAACATTTATTAAGCATTTATCATGTGACAGGCACTGTGCTAAGTATACTGAGGATACAAATACAATAAAACAAGTACAATGCTTCCTCTTCAGGAGCTTACTTTTTTTTTTTTTTGCTAAGACAGTTGGTGTTAAGTACCCAAGGTCACGTAGCTAGTAAGTGTCATATGTCTGAAGGCAGATTTGAACTCAGGTCCTTCTGATTCCAAAGTCCACTGAGCCACCTAGTTGCCTCCAAGAGTTTACTTTTTAGTAGAGGAATACAAAACATAAAAGGGAGCTGGAAAGGATTTAAG